CTCAGCTCCTGTCTCTGCCTCAGCTCTTCTCCACTTGTAGGCCAGCTCTGCCCTCATTCCCTCTCTAGTTCCATTTCACCCCAGCTTTACCTGTAGCCCAAACTGTTCTGCTGAGCCAACTGTGCAGTAATGGAGGGGGAAAAAAGAAAGATCCCATTACTGGTAATTGCGGGCACAACTGGAAAGCTGGGGTGCTACTGCTCAGCTCCTGTCTCTGCCTCAGCTCTTCTCCACTTGTAGGCCAGCTCTGCCCTCATTCCCTCTCTAGTTCCATTTCACCCCAGCTTTACCTGTAGCCCAAACTGTTCTGCTGAGCCAACTGTGCAGTAATGGAGGGGGAAAAAAGAAAGATCCCATTACTGGTAATTGCGGGCACAACTGGAAAGCTGGGGTGCTACTGTCCAGGGCCAGATTAACTCTTCTGGTAGTCCAGGGCTAGTAGATTTCATGGGGCCCCACCAGGACTCTGGGGCGGGGCTAAAATTAGGGATTCAGTGCAGGAGGGGACTGCCAGAGAGCACAGTAAGGGTGTGGTGTCTGGGCAGGAGGTAGGTGCAGAGGTGGGGCCGATTCTTAGAGAGAAGTCAGGTGCAGAAGTGGGCTGGGGGATGTGGAGTCTGGGTGGGAGGCAGAGTGCAGGAGTGAGCTTGGTTTGGGGGTCCTGATTCTGGGTGGGAGATAGGGTGCAGGTGTGGGATGGGGAGTATGCAAGTGCAGGCCAGGTGTGCAGGAGGGAACAAAAGATTGGAGCACTTATCTGCTGTAGCTACTGGGGGAAAACAGGTTTCTCTGTGAGGCCCTGCGTTTGCAGGGGCTGCCCCCCACTGCTCTCATCAGCCACAATTCTCAGCCAATGGTAGCGATGGGAGTGGTGCCTATAGGCAAGTACTACTAATAGTGATGTGTGCACAAAGCCGCTTCCCCCCTCACTCCACCAGGCAGACTGCAGCCTATCAGGGTGTTAGTGACTGCATCCCAGGGCCCTGGACTTAAATCCCTAAGGCTCCTTTCATAATCCAGCCCTGATTGTCCTAATGGATGCTTTAGGCAGCCCCACCCCCACTCAGCCTGCTAGCTTTGAGGATTCCATTCTTGGGTGCATTGGCCCTCTGCCTTGTATACCAAGCACCTAACTCCAGCCTGTGAATTCCACTAGGTGGCAGGTGTCTAAGTCCCTATGTCCATAAAAATCAAATTATTTAAAAAAAACCCTCATTGTGATGAAAATTAATGTGTTCCTTAAATGCTCTTTCCTTTTTCTTAAAGAAAGAAAAAAATTTAAGACCTTGTTGCCTCATTTAAACTGTGGTGTTACAAGCCACCCACTAACTCGACGGAAGCGTATCATAGGAGGAAACACTGCTAGAAAGGTACAACAAAAGTGGCTTTGTCTGATAAAAATATGTATGGGCATTGTTGTCTTTAGCGTTTGAGAGCACACACGGATATGCCACTGGCAGAAGGTGGCATATCAAGCTGAAAGAATGATTCCTAGCTCAGAGAGAAACCCCTGCTACTCTATGCAGTCTATGCTAAAAATAGACTGTAGCTGTGCCCGCACAAACCACCTGAGTACCTGCCTATGGTGTCACATAAGAATGTAATCAAGGTGGCTAGCCCATCATGCCAACACAACTGCATGCTATTTTTAGCACAACAGTGCAATCAGAGCTAATGTGAGTGTGCTTCCTCAAACTTGGAATCACACCCCCAGCTTTAAGTGTATACTCACCCAAAAATGTCAGGAAAAGTCAATTAAGACTTGAATAGAAACTTTATTTCTTCAAAGGAAGTTCAGTGTGTGTCCCAGGTTAGGCTCTGATTTGTACTCTTAACCAAGATGTTTGCATTGAATTTTCCTTTTTTTATTTTTTTTTTAAGAAAAATGATACTAGCTGTAAAACTACTGAATTGCACAGTAGTATTTTGAACTGCATGAGTTGTATACTGCAACATTGCAAAGAGATGCAAACCTCCCAGCTATTGTACTTTGGTGGGACATAATGCAGCACTACAGTGCAGGAGAGTAGTGAAGGAACACCTGCAAAAACTGCAGCAAATAATTTAGCAAAATACTCTTGCTAGAAAGAGTATCCTGACAAAACAGAATTAAACCTAAGTAATGTGTCTAATGATACAGTCACATATTACATTTGATCAAATAGGGTCAGATCCTACCACATGAACCATGCAAATATCTTTTATAGGGTGAATTCCCCTGGCAAGTGGCAATTAGAGAAGGTAGTGGTGCAGTGAACTGTGGAGGAATTTATATCGGTGGCTGTTGGATTCTCACTGCTGCACATTGTGTCAGGTAAAAACCATTGTAGAAATTATTTGGTTCTTGCAAAGTAAAGAAAACATTGTATAGGTTCTTGTATTTCTCATCTGTTTTTTTTTTTTTTTTTTTTTTGAGTCTGATCGCATATGGAGAAAATAAGACAGCAAGCCAAAAATTACTATTACAAAACAATAAAAAACTCAGAAGCAGAGAGTCTGCACACCAATCTCCAGGCTCACATCCTAAATTCTTAGTGTTACTGCTGGGTTGATTCAGCCCAGTCTGTATCATTACATCAGACTCCCTCTAGCTTACTCAGCCTCATCCCAGCATATGCACTGATTCTACCATAAAGGATTTTCAGATAGGGTTTTCCTTAATGTTTGAAAAGCCTTTCCTGCTTTTTAATACTGTCTGTCTAGGCATTTACACAGCAGAGATCACTATGGTAATTAAAGAGTCCATAATAGGTGGTTTTAGAGCTGAATTCCTTATCAGGAGCAAGATGAGTTAAGTGTGAGTTAAAAAAACTAATTAGGCTATTTTGCCTGCTCTTGCATGGTTCTCTTGTAGGTAGAACAGCCACCAGATTCTCTTCAATTTACTTTCTCCTGTTCCGAAGGCAGACAATTGAGGGGGTTTGCGTGCTTTTCTCTCTATGTTGTGTGTTATGGAAAAGCTATGGAAAAAAGACAGATCTTGCCATTTGTCCTGAAGGTGATCAGGCTAGGTCTGCTATTCTTGAGGAAGGGAATACCACAGTCAAGGAGCTGCAAGCCAAGTGGCTTTGTCTCCAGCTCCCAGTAGTCTTAAAGCCACTATAATGCCCTACTCTCTCTCTGCAAGTGCTGCACCTCTGAAGTGCCGGACAGACTCCCCCTAGAATCAGTTTCCTACAACTAAGCTGCTTGAAACAGCATTAATACACAACCATTGGAGGGGAGGAACGAAGGAGAATGATCACCACAGATTTCCTGAGGGATCTCTCCTCAAGCCATCTGCTGTTTTGGATCATGTTTTGGAGCTGATTTTTTGGATCATTGAGACCATATAGCAGGACTCCCATGGGATCCATCATTATAACATATATAGAATGCATCAAGACAACTTTCATCTCTCCTACGTTTTACATGAAATCCTAAGCTACACAATGCACAGGTGATGGAAAGAAAATAGAACCTACAGCAGAAGAAATGTCTATGCAGCACTTTAAAGACTAACAAGATGGTTTATTAGGTGATGAGCTTTCGTGGGCCAGACCTACTTCCTCAGATCAAATGGTGGAAGAAAATTGGCATGACCATATATACCAAAGAGATACAATAAAAAAAAAGTGAACCCTTTCCCCAAAGGGTGCACAGATGAACAGAGAGAAGGAAGTGATGGTCGCAACATCCCCTCCATTCTGGCCCATGATGTGGCTTGGGCACAACCCCACCAGAGCGCGGTGAGGAGAGAGGAGTCTGCCCCAGGAGTATCTCTACCTGCTTGGACACAACCAAAGCACAATCCTCCTAGCATTCCCCTTGAGGCAGTGCTAACAGCCTGTTTAGGCCTATTGATTTGTAAGTACGCTTCCATGTCAGATGCAACATTATATAACAAGTGGAATATGTCCCCACATTTGATATAGTTCAGAAAGCCCTTAACAGAGGAGGAGTAATACTTAGTATGTAATATTAATTATTTTTGTTCTACAGAAATGCTGATGAATTGCTAAATGGCATAATGCTTACTCCAAGCCAGAACTTACATTTGCACTTGTATGTATTAACAAAATATAACTGATATTTCTTTTACAGGCAAAGTCGAGTTAATCAGTATTTGATATGGACCGCAATATTAGATACAATCCACTTTAATAATGAGACAAATACTTTCAGAGTAAACCAAGTGATAATCCATGAAAACTATAATGCCTCAAACTATCAGAATGATATTGCTTTGCTGGAGATAAAAAGTAATGACAGAGGAAAGCCATGCTCACTAGCACACAGCATACCTGCCTGCATTCCTTGGTCAGAATATTTGTTCCAAGCTGGACATCAATGCAAGGTTTCTGGCTGGGGACTAGCAGAGGGTATGTGATTTTTCATTTACAATAATGAATTATATATATTATGGTAATGTCTAAGGGCTCACATCTATATCAGAATCTTAGCATGCTGAGTATTATACAAACTTTTAGAAAGAAACTCTACTCTTGTCCCAAATTGTTGGAGAAGGACTACAACATACATGTACAGTGATCAATGAAGTCATGTTAGTTAAATGTCTACTTTAGCTTATTTGTTTTATTTATAACACAATAACATAACTTTATGATTGGTCTAGAGAGGGGAAGGCACTCAAAATTGAAGTGATGAGGAGGATATTATTGTTGGAGTGAAAGGGGGGAAATACATAAAGGCAGACAAAAGCTGAATGGGACAGCAGGAAAAGAAAAAGAAGGCAAAAAATACAGTGTAAGAAAAGCCAAGCTCCGGCAGTGATGGGAGAGGGGCAGGATGCAGGAATATAGCATGTAAAAACTCTGCATCCTACCTAATTTGCATAGCTGAATGATGTGTTTTGTTCACTTATTTGCCAATCTGCATGTCTCATAAGGAAGGATAATGCAAAGTTTGCATCCTTCTGTTTATCACACTTCTCTTCTTGGAGCCCAGCCATACAAAGGTGCAGGCCTCTGCTCCAGTCCTCCAAAGAATGTAGAAACATTAGACATTTTTAATGAGCTTTTTGTCAAAGAGGTGAACTGATCATTTCCTTCATGAATTACAGCAGCTGATTAATAGCATATGGTCAATTAAGAAGCTGGCATGGAAGCGACATTTAAAACTACTACAATTATATTACTCTCTAGTAACATTTCCATTTTGATCACCAGTGACATGTGATTAAGGAGACTATTCTTTATCTTTTTTTTTTGTGTCCCTCAACATTTGTAGTTTGTCCACAAGATATGACGTGACTGACATCTAGAAGCCCCTCTTTTGTGAAAAGAAAAAGACGATAAAGATAGGAAAGATAGGAGGATGGAGAAAGAAGAAAGATAGGAGGGTGGAGAAAGAGACATTTCTAGAGCTTTGACAAAATAATTAAACACTGAAAATACTCAGGCCTGCTTCAAAAGGGCCTGGAGCTCCCAGCTGCTGCTGCTGCTACTACAGCCATAGTAACCGCGAGAGCCTTGGGCCCATTAAATTGACGCTGGAGCCCCAGGCGACGTGCGCCAGGCATCATTGAGGGCTGCCTGGGGTACGTGTGATATGCTCCATGTGGCACTGAAAGATGCCTGGGGAAAAACTAACCCCAACCCTGTCCCCTTTCATCCAAGATCCCATTCCTTCTGGAGGCGCAGAGCTGGGCCCCTTCCCCAACCTTGTCCAGGGGCTCGGCCAATCTGTCGGCCCCACTGAAAATACTGCAAGCTATCACCACAGTTTGCTGTGAACAATATCATGGTGATATATGATGAAGGTGCATTTAGGAAGCCAAGCTGAAGTGCTAGAATGGGAAACATAAGAATGGGATGACAGTTTTATCTAGAGGACCTTAACATGTCAGACTGAAACTGAACAAAAATAAAGCTTGAGTATTGCCTGTAATTCCTCCTTTAATAATTCTGATTTTCCAAGATACTTCTAATGCCCTCTCTTAAATGAGGTCTCCTAGATTAAGATTTTCCCTCCTCACAGAAAATACAAGAGCCAGTTAGACACTGTTTACCATATTGTGTAATCTATAAATTGCAAGCACCAACAGAAAATAAGTAAACAAACTAGAGAGGGAGTCAAGAACTGGGGTTCACTAAAAATGTGTCAGAACATGTAACTGCTGTGTGTGATTCTGCAGTTGAATTGTACTGCTTTTTATCTGACTGATGTGCTTACAAGGAGAAAGTATGCATGCATTTAAGGTATGTATTGTATATAATAAAACAAATTATACTGAGTCAGGAAAACAAGGGTGAAACATCTGATTCATGATAATGTATCTAAAATGTATTGCACATTCAAACGTTCTTTTCTTTCTTAGGTTATACCAAACAGTTTGTTCTTCGATGGGGCAACATTCATTTATTTCCAAACTGTTCAGAAATCTATAAAGAACGCTTTTTTAAAGAGATGGAATGTGCAGGCAAGTAAATTAATCACTCTTATACTATTTCTTTCTAGTGTCATCAAGTCAACCTTCCCAGATACAGCTTGTACCTCCCTTAACCAGGACTCTCTCTCTGGCAACATCCGTGGTCCAGCAGGACAATGGATGTTCCTGAACCATACAGCCCAGGTATAGGGAGGTTGGTCCACATGCACGGAGCACAGCAACTCAGCCGGGAGCCCCATGTCGAAGGAGGGAGTATGGAGGGACAGGCGGTGCAGCAAGGAGTCTGGCCTTGTGGCTAGGAGATAGCAGGGGGGCAGAAGTGACTGCAGAGTTCTGGCCTGGTCCTAGAGCTTCGGGGCCCGCCTCTAGGGAACTCCAGCTGGCAAGCAGCAGCAGTGCCAGGCTGGAATGCTAGCCGGGGACCGCAGTTCAGCACATGCCATGTTGGGAGGGGCCTCCTCTGGTCCAGCAAATCCCCTTGTTCGGGACCAGGGTGCCGGATGAGGGAAGTCCAACCTGTATCTGAAGTCCTACCGCATAGTGCTCTCTAATAATCAAAAAGTAGGCCAACTACACACCATAGTGAAGCTCTTAATAAAGTAAGGATCCAAATATTCTTACTAGATCTGCTGTAATGTGATACAGACATTTAGGATCCCCTTGCATGTATAATTACACAGTTATATTTGCAAATGCCATTCTGATTACATGCAAGGATTTGGACGCATTGGAGAGGGTCCAGCAGAGGGCAACCAAAATGATTAGGGGGTGGAGCATATGACCTATGAGGAGAGGCTGAGGGATTTGGGTCTGTTTAGTCTGCAGAAGCGAAGAGCGAGGGGGGATTTGATAGCAGCCTTCAGCTTTCTGAAGGGAGGTTCCAAAGAGGATGGAGAGAGGCTGGTCTCAGTAGTGACAGATGGCAGAACAAGGTGCAATGGTCTCAAGCTGTGGTGGGAAAGGTCCAGGTTGGATATTAGGAAAAACTATTTCACTAGGAGGGTGGTGAAGCACTGGAATGGGTTATCTAAGGAAGTAGTGGAGTCTCCATCCCTAGAGGTGTTTAAGTCTCGGCTTGACAAAGCCTTGGCCGGGTTGATTTAGTTGGGATTGGTCCTGCCTAGAGCAGGGGGCTGGACTTGATGACCTTCTAAGGTCTCTTCCAGCTCTATGGTTCTATGATTCTATGAATTATGCATGCAAATTCCTGCATCCCCATCCAGTTATGTTTTAGATTGTATGTAGATTTAAGCTACTGGCCATTGAAAATCTGACCTTTACCATCTTTGGCCCTGATTCAGCAAGGTACTTAAGTGCGTCTTAAAGCAGGGGTTCCCAAACTTTTTGACACGGGGACCAGGAAATCCTTTCACGAGCTTTCGGAGGACCGGTAACATTAATTTGCATATTCATTAACCAAATGATGAATATGCAAATACATTGGTTTTGGTCCTCCCAAAGCCCCCAGGGCCAGCTTTAGCAAAGCTTTTGATACGGCCACCCACAATATTCTTAGCAGCAAGTTAAGGGAATATGGATTGGATAAATGGACTGTAAGATGGATAGATAGCTGGGTAGACCAGGGTTCCCCAAACTTTTACTTTAGTTGGAACCTGGTTTTTTTGTGGTACTTTTTGTGTAGCCCAAAAATATAAAATCACATAAAAAAAGAGAATGAAAAATGAATAAATTTTAATTGTTTCACTCGCTGCATCCTCCACCCAACCCGGGCTAGGGCTTGGGGGACCCAGCGCCGCACGGGCACTCCAGAAGGCGGGAGCAGGAGCAGACTGGGGGTAGGGTATCTGGCTAGGAGTGAGGGTGTTAGGAGGGGTAGGATTGCCAGGTGTTTAGTTTTGTACCAGACAGTCTGGTATTTGAGGGTTCTGTCCAGAAACAAATTGAGAAAATACCGGACATAGAAAATGGGTGGTATTTTCTAATTAATTACGTTTTATTATTATCATTATGTGTATCAGTTTGTAGTTGCCAACTTCCTGGCTGATCAACACGTGCTGCGTGAGTGTGTCCACCAGCCAGGCAGATCACAACTACTCAGAGGTGGCAAAATGGAATCTAGGAGGCCGGACTCCTTTGTGCTTCGCCCGGACCATGCACGGGATGGGCAGCACCCCAGGATCTGCGTGTGCCCAGATCAGTCCCACTCCCTGCTGGCCGATTCTCTTCCTCCTGCTTCCCCCCTGGCCATCCCCGCTCACCCCAACCCACTTGCAGCCTGGTGGTTCTCTCCTGCTTCTTCTGATCTCCCCTGGCCAGCCCTGCTGCCCATGCCAGCCCTGCTTCCTCCGGTCGGTTCTCTCCACCCCCACCCATCTTTCCCAGCCAGCCCCACTGCCCCTTCCCCCCGGGCCAGCTCTGCTTCTGCCAGCAGAACCAGCATAATCCAATAAAACCCTGCACCACCACATCATGTATTGAAAAGGGGCTCATTTATTTTCAGAAAGCCGACACCATCTTTGGAATTTTTTATCCATATTCTCATTCTGGATGGTGAATGCACCAGGTTCTCTCCATTCTGACACATTGTGGTGCCTTTAAACCTCACTATCAGCAGTGGGGATATTTAAAAGGCACTGCTTTTACATTTTTATTCAGGATCTGCGTGCGGCCTGAAATGTCCCACTCCCCACTGGCTGATTCTCTCTCCCCTGCCTCCCCCCCTTC